GCTATGAGTTGCATCCAACTTGATGGCAGTACCGTTGTGTTTTGTTTGCATGGAAATTTTTAAAAACAAATTTAAAATACAAATTATTTATATTTTGTTTGTGTTTTTAGCATGTTTGTAAAGCACTTCAAGAAGTATACAGTGTTAATTGTTCAGCTGAAGATGTTTTCAATTTGGATTCTAGCACAGATGAAAAATTTAGCCGCCATTTAATATTTCAACTCCATGATGTGGCATTTAAAGATAACATTCATGTAGGTAAGTGTGCTGTTCACAAAAAAAAAAAAAACAAACAAAAAAAACAATCTTCTGCCAACCTGCAATAATACCTGGAATTTTTCCATGATTAATTAGTTATTTTGAGTTATTCCTACACTGCAATTTACTGGGATAATTTATCTACTTATCTGTTAAGGCTGGGGGAAGATAATGAAGTCATTTGAGGAGGCTTTTCTGTCATAACCCAAGCCCTAAGACTTAGGTTAAGTGTTTCCTCTGGCTTTCAGGTAGCATTCATTGCTTAATGTGTCAAAGTGTTTGCCCCCTTCTGAGGTAATTTCCTGTTTTGTTACTTTTCCCTTACCCTCTATTCTGCTTGCGCTTATGGCAAAGACATTTTCATAGTCAACATTGTATTTCTAAAGTTACCACATAATAGTTATAATAATAATAATAATACAATAAAAACAACAGCAAATACAAGTAGGCATTTAGTAAACATTTGCTAAATGAATGTGAATAGGCATGCTTGTCAGGGTATTGAAGCAGAGTCCTAAGCAGGAGATTTCTTTGATTCCTCTTCTCATTGTCTGCTCTGTGACTCTGTGGTAGTTCAGTTTGTGTGTCACCTTGGCTGGGCCTGGCTGAGTAGCTGGGCAGCTGGATGTAGTTATTCCTCATGATGAGACTGGTAATCAACTCCGTGGTGGAATCTATTGTCAGCAGCTGAGTAGCTGCCCTAGGGAATGTGGTCTGTTTCCTGTATGTAAACAGAAGCCTTGGGGGATGGTCTCTAGCATATGGCAAGCGTGGACCTGCATGTAGCCGTGTCATTGTTCAGCAGCTTGCCATGCTCTGCTGACCTTGGGACTTACAATGGACTTGAATTATTGATTAGCCTGCCATGTGGTTTGGTAACATCAGGACTGTGCAATTTTATTTGGCAACCTTGGGCTTGTTAGCCTCAGCAGCCACTAGCTGCCTAAGTGAAGAGATGCAGCCTAAGGTCGAGGGGCTTTCACACAGCCCCTAGAGCATGGTGGCACTTGACTTAAAGCCTCCAAATTGTGGGAGAATAAATTCCTGTTTTTTAAGGCAATCCCATTTGTGGTATATCCTTGTCAGAGCAGCACTAGGTATCCAGAACAGAATATGGTACTGAGAGAGTGGGGTGCTGCTCTGACAGATACCTAAAATGTGGAAACAGGAGTGGAGTGTGTCCTTGACCCGATACCCTGGCAGAGACACCCCAGCATACAGCATGAGAGACAGCAGGAGCAGGGTCAATGCAAAAATGGCAAGGAGGCCACATGTTCTGACCTCCTCTAATCCCACAAGAGGAAGGCAGAATCACCATCAATAG